CAGCGTTCTTGCCCTGTGTGCAGCTCACATGGGATTTAAAACCACAAAGAGTCTTAGAAATAAAGAGAAAAATTCAACCGGCAGGATTGGAGGGTGTGAACCAATGAATTCTATTTGCAAACAAAAGAATGGGTGGCAAATTTGTGGTGCACAGAATCCAGCAGAAATTCTAATTAAACTAGCAATTAGAAATGATGGAATAGAGTGAGAGGCAACTTGTTATCTTCAGATGAACTGCTGGGAAGGTTCTGGAAGGCAGTGTGACAGCTCAGTGGGACAAGTGCAGCAAATCTGGGACATTTGTTTCTCTGGCACTCAGTGTGCCTTACTACCCCTGCATAAAAGCCACAGAACAGGGCTTGAAGCCTCAACTCCTAAGTTGGGCACTCAAGTAGCCTAAGAGTCATTTGACCCAGAATTATTCTCTCAAAACATACTTGATTCCGAACATGAGACTAATTTAGTACAGTAATTCATATTGCATCTGAACATATGTTCTCACATGTGAGTTTCTGTATACAATGAATATCTAATTATGTCTTTTTAAATCACTGGATTTTCCCAGAGATGAATGTCTTAATAAAAAAAAATTACTCATGGGAGGAAGGGGAGGAAAAAAGAGAATTATCAACAGACTGCATTTCCACAAAATGGCTGCCCCTAAAGCAAGGGTTTCTGGGAAGTCCTCTCTGTCCACTGGGGGTGGGGGAACATTAATGCCTACATTCCAGTTATCCACCCTCACTTACAGGAACTTCTCCACCAAGATCTCAGGTGGTTTGGAGATGGCAGGCAGTCTAGGACACCATCCAGGGATGGCGATTTCTCAGAGAGGAAAGAGACAGACAGGCAGGAGGAATCAGATGCCAGATTTTCCAGAATAGCCAAGGACATGAGTGTCAGAGCCCTAGGAGTGAGGAAAGTGGGCTCTGTGTGTGACAATACCAGGAAGCCAGCAGCATCTGTCTGAGCAGCCCCTGCCAGCAGCTGCTGTAAATAACCTTGGTGTGTTAGCAGTTTTGCCCTGGGGTCTGGGACCTCTTCAGAAACTGCTGCAAATCCCTGGCACACTGTCCAGCAGAGAAACCTGACACACCAGAACTCCCATAAGTGACTGGCTATCCTTGATTCTGCAGTTGCAGAAGTTCTCAGTGCAGCCAATATCCAACCTACTCTGACTCTTCTCTCCCTGCTCTGGGTACCAACGCTTACATGGACAAACTTTAAGGGAATGAAGTCTGGGAGGTAAACTCAAAAACAGAAAGACAGGAACAGGACAATAAAACACCAAGATGGAGCCTGGGATCTCTCTCTCTGGATCCCCAACCCACCTGGAAGCAAATACCACATTCTCTGAACCATGAAAATGTGGGTCTATTTATTTCCTACCAATTTCCCACTGACAGAGGTCTATTTCTACCTTTCCCAGAACACTGTCTTGAAGAACAGCCCACCAGTTAATAGACGAGTTCCCTTTTTGTAAATGCCTAGATTGTGGCAAACATTTATTAAGAACTTATTATGAGACATGCACACAGAAGTAAAGAACATGAAGTTTGGAAACTGACAGAACTGAGTACCAATTCTCAGGTTACCACTCGCTACCTATGTGACCTTGAGCAAATTATTTAACCTCCCTGAATCTCAAATTCCACATCTATAAACTGCAGACAGCAATATCTGTCTCCTGAGACTGCTGTGAAGATTAAACAAGATGGTCCGTGATTAAGCACTTAGCACAGCGCACAGAAGCCTCAGTTTAAAAACTGGGTGTTATCACCATGTGCCAAGGATGGTAGAAGCTGCTAGAATTCAGAACTGCACTCACCCCTGCTAAAAGCACACACAAGTGCCATTTCTCTGAAAGCACTGACCCCCTGTTGTTCTAACAACCCCAGACTGGGACTTCTGACCTCTGGCAGCTTGGCACGTTGGTCAGGGGAAGCTGGCATAGGGGCTGAGAAGCCAGGGCTTTTTTCCCCTCCTAGTGTTCCAGATGACTGGTTGTAAGGATTTCTTGCAGTCCAGCCTGGGAACAAGTGATAACACAGACCTTGTCTAGAAAAAAAGCTCCAATCTACCTTTCCTTTAAACATCTCTGTTGCTTATCTTAGCAGTTTTAAAGGGATTTAATGATGAATGGTTCTGCTGCAGCAGAAGTAGATGAGAGAGAAGTATGAGGGGAGGGAAGGAGTTGCTTCTCCAATATCTTCTCATCTCCATCTCCATCATCCTTGGAATGTGCTCCCAGATCCAATGAGGAAAGCACTGATTCCAGAGCGAATGTGAATACAACACACACACACACACTCACACTCACACTTTCTCTCTCTCTCTCTCTCTCTTTCACACACACACACACACACACACACACACACACACACACAGTTCCAGCAGCAGTCTGGCTTCTTTCTTGCTGCATTGGGGGATCTTCTTACTTCTTTCACTCTTGAGGTACACACATCTTAGCTCAGCCCCAAGTCTAGACATAACAAATGGGAGAAGCAAGGGCCCAGGATCCTTCAGGGAAGTAGGAGGCCCACTGTTCCCCTCCCTGTCCTGGAAAGGCCAGCCTCACCTCTCCTGAACACTTCTCTTGCAACTCCCAACTCTAGTATGGATAGGACAGGTGGAGAGGAGGATAGCAAGACCTGTTCAAAAAGAAAGGACGCCTGACGTCCACCCAGCAGGTACCACAGCTTGGGGCCAAGCCATAGTCATGAACAATCCCACGAAGTCAAGGTCTGTGCTGGAGTCTCACCCAGGAGCTATTATAGGTGACTGTTGGCATCCAACAGACCCAAACACACCCCCCCCCAATACTAGCTCTGCTTCTGCTCAGACTCCCCCATCCAGTGTCTCAGAGGTCATGAAGATTGCAAATAGGTCCCTTTGAAGCCGAGCTGTGGGGTCTTCTGAATCACATGGGAGACACTGCCACCTTCTTCGGACTCCACACCCCTCTCTTGCCCAGGAGTAGAGCATGGGGAAAGAATCGCCTCTGGTTAAGACTTACAAGGGAAGGGTGGAAAAATAGCATCGATGTATACCTGTTATGCATCCAGCACTGGACATAAATTAAACCTGTGGGAATGTTCTTTACAACTGCTGAAACACAGGCTCCAGAGGTGACTTGACCAAGGTCACCCTGTTGGGGTGACTGGGCCCAGCTGTGGCCACAGTCACATCCCCTAGACTCCCCTTCAACACTACACCTCCCCACCCCCCACATACATGGTGCTTCTCACTTTCCCCAGTACTGAGGGCCTTGCCCAGCAGTCAGGCAGCCTGAACTCTACTCTGAGGACTTGACCACCTCTGGCAATGACCTCAAATCATTTGGGGCTTGTGCTACTCCTGCTCACGAGTCCTGATAAAGAACTCCATTGAACTCACAAACAGCTGACACACACACACACACACACACACACACACGACTCTGCCTGTGACTCAGGCTAAACAAACTCCCAATCAGAGCTGGTAGGCACGATTTGCCTCCTGCACTGAGTCACCCTCCAGGCTGAGCAGCAGAGATTCCCTGAAACTCAACCACCTACCTAGCCACAGCTGTTCCATTAGAGAAAAAGCCGGCTGAGGAGCTACAGCCTCTGATGACTCCATAAATGGGCCATGGTCAAGGACAACCTGGTCTTTGACCTCAAAGCCCTTCCTGCCTGGGAAATGGGCCCACCTCACCAGGCAAGGGATAATGTAAGCAGTATGAGGCACAAGAAGCCCCATTGTTAACCTTCACACAGTCTGACCTTGTTCTCCAGGTGTCCATCAGTAAGCCTGGCAAAGCCTGACAGACACTAACTAAAGTTTTGGTTGAATTTTCTTGGAGCCATGACAAGAAAATTCTCAGTTTCTGAGAAACGTGTTAACAAGGCCAGAGTCTTCAGAAGAATCTTCCTTCTCATCCCTTTCCCCCATGGTTCCAACGCAACCCCACTTGCCTCTTGGTCACAGGTGAACTGTCACCAAAGGTTGCTGTGGTTAGAAATTTCCTACATCAAGTGACCCATGGCAGGGAGGGCGGGGGGAAGGAGGGAGGAAAGGAAGGAGGGAGGAAAGGAAGGAGGGAGGGAGGAAGGAAAGGAATGACTGAAGGAAGGAAGGAAGGAAGGAAGGAAAAACTTTAAAAGAAAGTCCATTCCAGAGCGACTGGGTTCTGTAGGTGAGAGGCCTCAGAACTTCTGAACCCCTGATGGGTCTGCTTGGGCTTTAAAAGGAAACAGCAGTCTTCCTTCCAAGGCGGCCGTGCCCTTTGGGGAGTGGGCCCTCCCTTGCGAGCATCGCTTCAGAGCACTGAGCACACAGGTATAAATGTGGCACAGGCCTCTCTCCCCAGACGGCGCCCCCCCCAGATTGGCGCCCCCGTGCACATCCCCTTTCGGTTCCCAGATGCGCTTCCCTAAAAGGAGGAAGGACTCCACTCCAGCTCTGGATTCGGCAAGGACTAGCCTGGGAATTAAATATTCATCACAGGCGTGAGCGTTCTGCATCTCTTGCCAATGTTACTGTCAAGGTCAAGGGCCTGAGGCCGTGGTTGGGGCTGGGGTCCCCGGCTGCGCAGGGGTCCCCGGCTGCGCAGGAACTCCCCGCGGAATTGCGCCCTGGGCGCGCAGTTCCAGCCCGCGGGAGAGGCGGGGCGGGCCTGCTCCCCGGTTCTCCGCGGGAGCTTGCCTCTGCAGCTGTGGGGGGTTATCTCCGGATAGCTGAGGCCCTCTAGAGTCCCAGAAGCTGAAGCCCATGTCCAAATCGTGCTTGAGCCTCTGGGCACCCTTGATGCGCCGGATTGGCATAACCCAGTGGCTCCGTCGCCAAGCAACGGCGGCTGGAGCGGCGGGAGGAGCCCCGCGCCAGCCCAGGGTCTGGCGAATTATCAGGGAGGACCGCCTCGCACCTAGGTCCTTGAGCCTCCCAGGCTGGGGCGGGGCCGGAACAGACAGAGTTGCGGTGGCCCAGTTTAGCCAGGTGGGGCACGGCCGGCGACTCACCTGTCTCTCGTGAGCCGTTCTGCAGACTCGGCCCCTGAACTCCAGCCGAGTAGCTGTGGTCCCCGACGGGTCGCGGATGCAGTCCCTCCCGCGGGCAGCCCGAGTCTGACGGCGACAGGCCCCTGCCGGGGCTGGGGGCCCGGGACCCGCACACCGATACACGCGACTCGGCTCGCTCCTCACTCCCTCCCTCACCGCCAGTCCCAGCCCGGATCCCGCCCGCCGCGCGATCGGGGCTCTGGGGAGTGGCCCGGGGACCCAGGTTCCGCGGCGGAGGGAATGCGTGGGGCTGCGAAGGCCCGGGCCGAGTGCCACCCTCCCCGCGCCCTGGCCGCGCTGGCTCTGCGGAGCGGAACGGAGCTGGGCGGAGCGCAGCGCGCACTGTTCCCTCGCTTTCCGAAAGGCCACCCTGGCGGCGGGGCGCCGTGACGCAGGCTTGACTCACGCGCGGGCCCGCGTCAATGCGAGGCTCTCCGGCTGCGAGCGAGGCGCTGAAGACCGACGCAGGCGAAGTGGGTGGACGGGAGGGGGTGCCCAGGCAAAGCCTCTTGAAGCACCCGGTTAGGGGACCAAGACCCTGTGCGTTTCCAGGGCCTCTACCTTTGGAGGGAAACGGGGCCCTAGTGACCAAAGCCCTCCTGAAGCCCGGGCCTCACTTTCTTTTCAGATTCATCTCTTTCCAGCCTGCTTCGTGAACTCAATCTTATTCGCCTTGCCTAGACCTTTCCACCTTCACTGCACATATGCGTTGCCTGTGTTCCCTTTCCTTGGACTGCCTTTTCCCTCCACTGACCTTCCTTAGGTCCTACCGCCTGCAAGGCCATCCCCTTCAGTGTATCATTCAACTCTTCAGTGTATCATTCATCTTTTGGGCTCCTACCGTACGCCATGAGCTCCAGAGGCTCAGAGGATCCCAGATGAGGGAAGGGACGCTCAGGGAGTAGAGTGAGGTCTGTGCAGGTAGTCAAAACAGGAACCAGAAGGACTGAATGAGTAAGTGGGGGCACTGACACAGTTTCATGAATGCTGGCAGAAGGCATGAGACTCCAGGGCCAGAGACAAAGGACTTTTCATTACTCACGGCACAGCAGGTATCATGCACTTCACATTCATATCAGTTTCTCTTTTATATTATATTTTATTAGCATACATTAATAGTAGAGGATGGGTTCATTGTGATAATTCCACAGATACAGACAGTGTACTTTGAACAAGTTCACATCCTCTATTACACTCCCTTAACCTTCCTTCCCTCCCCTGCTTTTCCAACAGCATTTGGTGGATTTCATTATGCTATCGTCATATATGTGTGTGTATATACATGTGTATATAGATAGATAGATAGATGATAGATAGATAGATATAAAAAATGTATTTTCATCCTCTTCACCAGCTAGTACCATCTCCTTTCCCCCTCCTTCCTTCCCACTTATCCCCCCCAGACAGACCACCTTTTTCACTCATATCCCCTTATCATCATCATAATTATCATTTTAGGTCTAGATTCCACATATGAGCAAAAACATGCAATATTTGGCTTTTTGAGTTTGGCTTATCTCGCTCAATATGATGATATCCAATTCTATCAATTTTCTTGAAAATCACATAATTTCATTCTTCTTTATGACTGAATAGCTTTACATATACATATATACATATATATCATTTTCTTTATCCGTTCATGGGTTGTTGGGCACCTAGGCTAACTCCACAGCTTGGTTATTGTGAATAATGCTGTGATAAACATGGTATGAAGGACTTACATTCCTTCAGATCTATGCCCAAGAGTGGTATAATAGGGTCCTAAGTTAGGTCTATTTTTAGTTATTCCATGACCCTCCATACCAAATCAGTTTCTGTTAATCCTTGAGTCCTATAGGAGGGTATTGGGCTATGCCCCAGTAATATGCTCAAGTGTAGGAAACCCCATCTTTTATAATGGTTTGCAAGCAAAACTGCCTATCATTTACCCCCCACAGACTCTTTATTACACTGGACAGCAAATGAAACTGCTCTCTGTATCTTCCAAGGCAGTTTACTGTGCAAACACCCTCCAAATCACAGTCTGAGACAAAAAGTCATCAGTGCCTCTGGACATGAGACTGGTGGAAATCAAGACACCGATTGAGAAGTCTCTCTCACTAGACATTTCTTTCAGTCAACACATGTTTAGTGAGCCTGGTGTTCATTTGATACTGCGCTAGCCCTGAGGATCTGGCAGAAATCAAGACAGACCATGATCCCTGCCCTTATGGAGCTTACTTTCTGGTGGACCTAACAAAGGAAGCAGAACCAGGTGGTGGTGCGTGGCAGGAAGTAACAAGTGATGCAGGGATATACAGAGGTGGACAAGTATTTTGTGACAACTGACATGGTATGGGGGGTAAGGAGAAGGAAAGCCTCTGACACAGGAGGTTATAAGACAAGGGAGCTTGAATGTGGTGTGGGGATGAGAAAGAGAAAGAACTTTGGAGTTTTGAGATAAGAGTTTTCATCTGGATTGCCATTACCTGGAGACCTTGAGCAAGTTATAGAACCTCAGTTTCCACAGTAAAATGAATGATACATACTTCTTATGGTTGTTCTGATGATTATATGAGATGATTGTTTAAAAATATCTGGTATCATATTCGATGTAATGTGCTTAATAAGTGGCTGTTATTAGTGATATTATTAAATGATCGTGTTGTTATTGACCAAGACAGAGACTTTAGCAGGAGGTGCAGACGTTGGAAAGAAAGTAAAGAGTGGACTTGGGACATTGGGAGGATAGACCCATGGAGTAGGAAGGCACTAAGCAGAAGAGGCCCTTATCTTTCTGCCCTCATCTCACATTCATCCACTGAAAGTCCCAAACTGAGTGAATGCAGCACCTACTTCTCTGTGCAAAGTTCTCAAGAGAGAAGAACGGATTGGTCTCCCTCTGCCCTCATGACCGCCAGTCTCAAGTATGCTTCCTGATGCCTCCCTGTGACTTTCTCTCCAAGCAAGGCCACTTCAACCTTCTCTATGCTCCTCAAACACCCTCCTTCCTACCCCTCCCCCACCTCCCTGCTCTCTCAGGAGCTGTCTTGCTTTATGTAGAGACTCTCTAGGTTTCCACATAGACACCACTCTCTCCTCCTCCTTCCTCCTGAGAGAGCAGGAGAGAGCTTCTCCTGCTGTCTGAGTCCAGTCTCCACCTGGACCGTAGGTCCCCTGGCCACACTGTCTTGAGAATCCCAATCAATGTCAACTCTTCTAGGCTCTCCTGACCTTTCCCTTTCTACTGCACCCTTCTCAACAACTTGTAAGCATCTTCAAATCTATTCCTTTAAAAATCACTAGGTTTTCGCCCCCATCCTTTCATTTTTTTCCACACTCCTTTCCTCCATTTCCTCACTCTTATTTCACTTTATCTCCATCGTGCTGCCAAGATGTCTCTTGATAAGGTCACCAATGACCTCTTGGTCATTAAATCCATAGGAAATTTTCCAGTCCTCACCTTGCTGGCCTACAAGCGCTACAGTGCTTGTCTTGTACACCCTTCTCTTCTTTCTAACACTCTCTTTCTTTCCTTCCTTTCTAGAAGTCTCCGCTCCTGATTTCCCTCCTGCCCTCTGGTCAGCCCTCACAGCTCCCCCCTGCAGACTTTTACATGTTGGACTTCCCAGAACCCTGTCTTTTTCTCATTCTAGATCCTTCCCCTAAGCCATCTCCTCTACTGATGACTTCCACATGTCCATCTCCATTCCAGACATTCTGAGCTCCACATACTCAACTACTCACTCTACCTTTCTACTTGGCTGTCTCTGAATTATCTCGAACACATACGTTCAAGACACAACTTCAACATTCAAAATGTCTAACATTTCTCTTCTGTGCATGAACCACTGAGCCAGTCAGAAACCCACTAATCACCTTGAGCCCTCCCTCCTTGCCTCTTCATGAAATCCATCCTAAACCTAGAGGTTTAACTCCTAACAACCTCTAGAAGCTGGCCACTTCTCTAAATCTACTCTCACAACCCAGTCCAAATTATAACCATTTCTCACCTGGACTCTCACACCTTCCTAACTCCAACTCTAATCTCTACCCTTTTTCTCCACACTGCAGCAGAAGGGATCTTTTGGAAGTAAAAATACAATTGCACCCTTGTCAAGCTTGTGGCATTTTATCCACATCTGTAGCCAATCCCTCAAGGCTCTCTCTCTCTTTTTTTTTTTTTTTTTTTTTTTTGCAGTGCTTGGGCTTGAACTCAGAGCCTTCACCTTGAGCCACTCCACCAGTCCAATTTTTTGTGGTAGGGTTTTTCAAGATAGGGTCTCATGAACTATTTGCCCAGGCTGGCTTTGAACTGCAATCCTCCTGATCTCTGCCTCCTGAGTAACTAGGATTACAGGTGTGAACCACCAGCACCCAGCTTAAGGCCCTCTTGACTCTAGGCTCATCTGTCTCTCTTCTCCCATGGCTCTTCTTGCCACTTACTGACTCTGCCAGCCTTCTCTCAGCTCTTCCCCCTCTCCCACACTTTTCTGGCCTGGGCTTCAGCCCATATGCCCTTTTGCAAGGAATCTGTTTAGTCTCCTCCTCCTCTTCCCTTGTTTCCTGTCTACTCACCCAACAGAGCTCACCTGGAACCCCAATCCTTTGTGCCTCTCCTGACTGTGGAGAAGAATTTGGTCAATCTCCCAGGTGGACGTTTCTCCGTCTTGGTAGCCCTTGTCACATTGTAATTAAGTACTTAATGGTATGGCTGGCTGCTTAGTGATGGGTGTCTCTGGTTATGTGGAAGCGCCACAAGGGAAGGGACCATGTCCACCCTCAACACATGATGGAAACTCCATGTTATTTACTGAAAGATTAAAGTGTGGTCCAAAACATGGGTATAGTATGCACATGTGAATAAATGAATAAAACCACAAGACATGGGCATAAATCCAGGAAAGGAAATTAGAGATACATTCAGAAGTCATAACCATAAAAGGAGTGGTCAAAGCAGTTGGGAAGGTGAGACCCTCCAGAGGAAGCGTGTAAACAACAAGAAGTGTATAGTGCTTACTTATAAGGGGTAGAAGGACCAAGAAGGGTCAGGAAAAAAGACAGAAGATGCCAAGAGGACAAAGTGTGTCACAGAAGAAAGAGGATTTCAAGAAGGAAAAGGCAGTCCATGATGTCAAAATCTGTAGTGATGTCAA